TGGGTCTAATGGTATAGTTTCAGCAGAGAATATTCATATCAACCAATCAAGAATAGAGATGGGTTGATTAAGCATTACATGCGCACATTGTATGTAACAAGAGACCAAAAATTAATTAGATAACTTAATTAAAAAAAAAAGAAACATGAGCAGATACCAAGACTAGTCACTGTCACATGCACCAATCATAAAGTGGCTGGCAACATGAACACTATAATAAATAATAATGTCCTATTCACTGGGAGGACATGTCTGCACGTGCATATATATATATCTATAGACACACATTCTACACAACATACTTTGCTCCATGCATTTAGTAGGCTTGACTTCCCCACATTTGGACGGCCAACTATTGCTACCTGCAAGAATTCAAATGCATAAAATCACAATACAGAAGCCCATTAAGAGAGCAGGCACTTCAGCAATATATTACATAACCTCCCCCCCATCCCACGGAAGGAAAAGAAAAGCTACAGAAGTGATTGGTTAAACAGCATCCACTAAAGTAAACAAACTAATGTAGTTGCAGCCCCATGCTACCTTCATTTAGAGTTCACCAGATGACATTCAGGGAAGTAAGAGTTATGGAAGTTTCTAAGTCATCTATCATGATTAGTTTTACTTTTTTCAACTATGAAAAATATGATGTACAAACAAACCTTAAAGAAACCTAGTCATACAGTAAACAAGGCATAGTGAGATGTCGCATGGATGTGACGTTTGAAAAGTCAGAAGTTCTTGCTGTTTGGCAGGAAATAGAATACCTAATCTCTTCAACATTCTTCTATTAATAAATCCCATCTCCTACATATTCAAAGAAGATGTCTAAGGAAAGATTCTGTTGCAGACTGTACCTGTAATCCAGATTGGAGAAACTTGTCATAATTAGCAGTGTCCAATGCACTGTCTACATTGTTTGACATGGCATGTATTTTGTTCATAATCAGGCCTAAATCAAGTGGTGGCATCTCATCATCAAAATCTAGACGAGCCTCAATCTCAGTAAGCAACTCAATGCACTGAGCTCTCAGTGATTTGACCAAGGAAGAGAAGCCCCCCTGGTAGAGAAGTCATATTATTTAGGTTGTCAGTTGTACTAGCAACTAGGGTTTTACATGACTGAAACCTGAAAGACAGCATTTACACATGCCTGAATTCCAGCCAAAGCTGCATCAGCAGCTGCCACAGACTTGGCAGAAATCAAATTTCTAACGTTTTCAGCTTGTGAGAGGTCCAAGCGGCCATTGAGAAAGGCACGTAGAGTGAATTCACCTGTTTAGAAACATAAAGAAAGTTAAAAAATGCAACAGAACCTTTAAGTGCAAATCATTTACAGATGGTCATGTTCTAGGAAGTCATCTAGAAGGCGCAGGAGGTAACAAAAATTTGCAAGTTATTCTAGGTCATAGCAAACCAGACTAATATGCCAGAAGGCCAAAATTCTCATGACACTCGGTATTTAAAATCAATAATCAAAACATTCTTAAAGAAAGTCAAAATTCAAGCTAGCATTGTTAATGGACTATTAGTACAGCAACAAAGACTTCAAGAATGATTCTATAATTTTATTAAAGTTTTAACAAGACAGCCTATGATTACCACTTGAAAGAATAAGCTCTATAAGTATACTGAGATTCAATTTTTCTAACAGCCGCAGAACATATTCTTTGAGCCTGAAAAAAGATAGCCAAGAAGCCACAGCTTCAACCCAACTTCTAGTGCCATTACGAACCTGGTTCTGCAAGCCTTGCCCCAGCTTCGAGGCAAGCTCTCAACACACGACGCAGGCACACTTCATTCCCGTGACACTGTAGCTCAACAACATCTTCGCGAGTGTACGATCTCGGAGCTAGCATGGGGACAGCTAAAACCTTGTATGGAGGAAGAACGAACCATTATCCACAGCCTTGTGCCAAAAATGAATACAAATTCTCACGGAGGATCAAATGCAAAGCTGAAGCCAACGACCAAGTCAAATGCATTGAGAATTTTAGAGCTGAAGAAACCCATCTCACATTCTATCAAGACATATAATAAAAATAAAGTATTTGCAAGTTATACTTACACCTGCAACAATTTGATCTTAGCATAAGTTAACAAATAAACGTGAATAACTTTAAAGCCTGCCATAACCAGAATGCTCATTCGCAAGATTTAAAAGTTATACGATCAGGAAATTTTAATACTTTATCGGTATATAAGGTGGCGGGAAGAAACAAGTTACCTCATCAACAACGTTCCCTCCAGAATCTAGAACGAAACCGTACTCCACAACGTGACTCGTGGGCAGCCAAGAACCAGAACCACACGTCTTTCCCTCGGTCGTCTTCTTCCTCATATTGTTGGCGGGGCGAAAGACACGAGCGACGATGTGGACGGCCGTGGGCCCGGAAAGGCGGACGATTCCCACGGCGCCAGGCGGGCCTCCGAGTGAAGTGACGATGGCGGCGATTGTGCTGGAACACTGAAGGTAGTCGGCCCCATTAAGAGCATCGCCAGGAGGCATCAACCGATCATCGTTGTTGAAGACCAAGGTTTTATCTGCAGCAAAGAACGACAAGATGAGAGATGAAAGAGATAAGAATAAAATCGCAAGGGAGAACGTGCGACGGTTCGAGATGGAACCTGGGTTTGTGGCACGGGGCTTAAGCGTTAGGGGTTTAGGAGATGTAGAGAAGAGAGTAGGTAGGAATTTGGAGAAGGGTAATGAGAGTCTTGCGGGGAGTAGAAAAGAAGAAGCTATAGCAAGCAATGGAGGAGTTGGTCCATGGAAATGAGTAATAATGGTGCGAACTGATAAGAGGAGAGCCATGGCCAGGGGGAGGACTTTCTTCGTCTGACCTGCCCAACTGATAACACTAACACTAGTCCTGTTTTATCTTTTTTTTTGTTTGTTTGTTTGTTTTAATAAAAAAGAGATAAAGATGAAGGTTGGGCGAGGCCTGATTCAACAGCATGGTGGTCAAATCCAATATCGAACTGAAAAATGGAGATCGGCCCACCCAATAAACCAGACTACAAACTACAAGTGAAGTTCTAACCGTAAAGTAAAAGTTGGAAGCTTTTAGGATACTCAATACTACCAAGGCGGCAAGGCAAATACATGAACCTTACTTGTTTGTGGGGCTATGTTCATAAAACTACAAACTAAAATGGCTTTATCTCATTGGAAAACGATTGATTGGAGACTCTTTTTTGTGTGGAGATAATATAATACCTTTATTTTATTATTAATTACTATTACGATTATAATTACATATTATAGTGGACCAACTAGAGTTTAATAATGAATTATTGTGCGCATGTTAGGTTTAGACTGGCGTGTGGGGGAATTAGCTATATATGTCGTCACTACGTCTTCCTTTCCAGATAATACTGTAAATAATAATTTTGAACAGAATTTAACCTCATCACCTCAAAATTAAAATTACTCTCTATCCACAAACAATACAAAATGCTTTTTGACAGATAGACTGAAATTGAAAGTTTGGTGAACTGATAGATATTTTCCACACACTTGAAATCCCAACTCCTCCCTCTTATATGTAACCATATACGCAAATACACCAGTAGTACAAATTCAAATTATAACAAGACCCACTGCCAGGAAATAAACATACAAGTATTATGGCTTAATCCCATTACCACATCCTTCACCTCTCTCTCTCTTCTTTTTCATTTTTTTTAGGGTTGGGGGATTGGGCCCCTGTCCCTCAACTAAACCACATCTATACATGAGAGCTCTGTCATCTTCCACTCAACTCTACAGGATATCACTTTCCCAATTTCCATTTATACATCCAGTTGCACATATCATTTCAGTTTTGTTGGTGTCAAACTTGTTGATCCGCTAGTTTGGGAGAGCAGGATGATACAGCATCTGCCACGGTGAGGAAGATTCTGTCCTCGCCTATCAAATTTGCAAAATTTGAAGCATGGAGCTTGTGGATCACCGCAGGACCTGGATTCGCCAGAACAAGCTGCATACCAAGAAAATACCAACTCCTCCGGTAAGCATATTTCACCAACTTTACTCCACTTTTTGGGTGCTGGTCTTGTCTTGTTAAAAAAACTTGCTAGAAATCCAAGGCATATAAAGTAGAAGCGGATGGTGTTTTTTACCTGCACGTCTCTCTTCTTTAGACTGCTGTTTAACTCCTCAAGTGCATGGATTCCACTAGTGTCAATGTCCGTAACGGCTGCATACAAACAACAATACATGTTAATAACTCTCCTATAAAACCAACGAGCATACCTTTAGCCCACAGGAGGGAGATGGGAAGGGAATCTTACGTGATAAATCTACTACCAAAAACTGAATTCTTGGCTGGTTCTCTGCTTTAACTCTTTCTTCCTCATCTGTCAGCCATCTCAGTAACCTGATAGGAAGTTGATTTGGGCAACATGAAATCTATTACAAACAGAAACAACTAGCCAGATTTTAAGACCCCCCGATTTATCCTAATGCTGCATACTCGTGTACTGTAAGATAAAGAGCAGTAACGTGCCACGCCATGCTTCTGTGGGATATAAGGCCTTTAATGAGATTATTAGAAAACCTGAATCAATAAATATAACTATGTAATACTTTACTTGTACGTTTAAAATTGGTTTATTTCAATTCCCAAAAAGAAGAAAAGATAAATAAATTTCATAAGAGAAAGCTATGCCATGTCTACAAATTCTTAGGAGATCATTTCAAACAATTGAAGGATTTCTCTAACTTTTTATTGGTTCAGGTGCAAAAATCAAAACAGTGTGTTACAGGCTGTTTGGATTTATTTATTTGCTTTTTTTAACTCATAGTCATGTACTTATAAACTTTTAAAAATAACTTTAAATATAGTTTAATTAATTAAGTTTACTTTTGTGCAAGAGTTTGTGGGTTCGAGTTGGATAATGCTCCTCCGTGTGTCATTATTTTAAAGGTTATTTGTGTTATGTTATAATTAATGTATATATACCATATTGTTGATGAATGTATACAATTTTTTACTCAAAAATTTAAGTTTATTCCTATATCTCTAACGGGCTCTACATAAGTATCTTTGAACTTTCAGCAAAAAGAGTGCTCATAAATTGAAAGCAGAATAAATTATTAAAATCCAAAGGTCAAGAATTGGATTCTGTCCAAACCCAAAGGTCAAAAGTATTTGTTGGGTTATAAACCAAAACAAAGAAGCACCTCTTAGGAGCTTATTTAGGACTTATAAGCTAAGAGCTTATAGCCAAAGAGAGGATACCGAGCACATGTGTCTTCTATTCTTTTATCAAACTATTTAACAAGTTAAAAGCTTATTCTATGGTCAAACTAACAGGAACTTATTCCTTTGACTTCAAAGCTCAAAGGAAGATGCCAAACACGTGAATTTTTTATCATTAGAAAAAAATGCCAACCAAACACCTAGACTTAATTTTTTGGTATATATCTAGATGTTGACGCCATATTTATGAGGAGCCCTTATTCCTGACGCCATCTTTTGGACTATATGGAGAGGCTTTGGACGCATTGCATCTAAGTTTGGCAGTATTAGAGACTGATGGTTCTTAGACCTAAGCATTTTGTTTAACGCCATCTCGTCCTTCATGAGGAAGAGATTCAGGGAGCTCACTGATATTTTGGCTCAATCCTCTCCATAATTTTATGTCTTGTATATCTTATCCGTAGGTGGCATCCTCTTGCCACCTCTTAGTATTATTCTCCACTTCCTTCTCAACCCAAACAAAAAAAGCCAGGCCAGATAAACTATGATTATAGAAATATTATGGTGCATCTTTACCTCTCTCTGACATAATTAGAGTTGGAAAAGTAAATTGCCGAATCAACTCTCACGATCAAAACACCTGAAACCTTAGTTGCATCTGGATATTGTTGGGTATTTCTGTACACAGTTGTCCTAGGGATCTTTCCAAGAAGGGCTGTCCGAGGTCTGGTAACTTGTAACAATATTTTAGCGAAGGATATACAGACCTGTCATAAAACACAGTTAGAAAAGATAAAAGTAAGTTAGACATGTAATTCACAAGTAGTTCATAACTAAAAATTGGAGGAAGTAAATGTATTTCTCACCGCAATTAAGAGACCTATCTCGACAGAGGAAAAAACTACTCCAAAAAAGGCTCCCATGCAGGCAACAAAATCAAATTTGTCTATCTTCCATATCAAAACTACTGCCTCAAAATCAAGTAGGCCTATGACAGCTGAGATAATGATGGCAGCAAGAATGGCATTTGGGGTGTATTTAAAAAGAGGTGTAATGAATTGCAAGGTTAGAAATACAACACAAGACATAACGATGTTAGACACTGCAGTTTGGCAGCCAGCCATGTAATTTACTGCTGATCTAGAAAATGAACCTGCAAATAATTAGAAAATAACAATCAGCTGCGGGCTAATTATTATTCCCACACGAGTGAGCAGGAACATGAACAGACAAGTTCTTTTGATGTTCAAGTATTGGAAGGTAATGGAGACTATGTGAGTGACCTTATTTATTAACCTGGTATTTGTTTCTTTCCCCTTCTTTTGAGTTAATTATTAGTGTGTGTTTGACAACCTTCATAATGTGGTAAGCAATTTTATATACTGGCTTTTTCTTGGCATGCATGTATTGCTAAATGGCTCCTTGATAAATCATACAGGAAGAAATATTACTATAAGCCATCCCTCTTTTCTGTATTTAAAAATTTACATTCATGTGTAATACAATAGGTGTTTCCTTCTCACCTGTGGCCACATAGCAAGAAGTCATTGAACCAACGATATTCATTGCTCCTAAAGCTACCATTTCTTTATTACCATCCAGTTGATAGTCCTTCATGGCAGCAAACGTTCTTCCAATGGCTGTTGCTTCCTGAGAAATCCACCCATAATGAAATTAGTGAGAAACAAGGAAAGGAAAGAGTTTGATAAAAGAACCACAAAATAAAACCTCTTCTCCTAGCAAAGGTGATCAAATTGACTCACCGTAAGTGCTATCATGCCAGCCACCACTCCGATCCTGAAGCCTTTTGTCAGAAACGGGCCACTGAAGAAAATTTGATCAGCTGATGGGGGATTGATTCCTTTTTCTATGTGATTCACCTTCATTCATGAATAGAAAATTAGATTTCTGCTGCAGTGTCCCTACTGTTTAAAATTATCATCAAATTTGAAACTCCTAATCCTTTTATCACAAGGAAAAGATGGAAATGCTTACAATTGAAACTCCTTTCTTTTCAGCATGAGTTAAAAAGACAAAGAGGGTAGAGAGAACAACTGATATCAATGGTGCAATTGCTGGCACCCAGAAAAGTTTCTTGTTCCTTTTTCCCTGTTTCTCAAAAAAAGTTGGAAATCAGAACTATGATTTGCAAATAAATCGAGAGTAACTGGAAGTAATAGCAGAGACTCTTACAATGTATTTGGCAGTGAGAAGGAAAGATAAGAAGCATGCCCCAATGACAATTGTCTGCCAGTTCCACTGCAAATATTGGTTCATAGAGAATTCAGTAACTTGAGGATTATAATATTAGAATAAATCACTTATTTGAAAATTATCACGCTAACAGATCAGTTCATACTTTAAAGTGAAGTCTAATATAGGTGAAAAGAGATGAAAGGAAGAGCACTTACTCCGTGTTCTGCTGAACTGATGACTGACTTCATCACAGAAGTAATATCAGTTTTCTTCGTGAAATGTTTAATGCCAAGAAAACCCTTAAGCTGTTGGAGGGCAATTGTAATGGCAGCCCCACCCATGAAACCGACGATGGCAGCATGAGATAGAAAGTCAATCAAGAAACCCAACCTAAAAACAAAATCAACACCAGTACATTTCTGTAAGGTATGGGCCTTCAAATTCTGAAGTGTAAATATGAGCAGCAGGGAAATCAATAGTTTATGTGTGATGTTTTTATTGCTTGTACATTTAAGTATATGATACCTAAGAATTCCAAGAGCTGCTTGCGTGATCCCAGCAAAAAAGGTAGCAGTGAATGCAAGCTGCCGGTATTCAACAGGATTTTTAAATGGATCAATCACTTCTTGAAGCAAACTTCCTAGTAGAAGAGAAACCACAGCAACTGGTCCAATAGCTATATCTCTCGAACTGCCCATAAAGGCGTAAATCAAGGGTGGAACAAAGCTGGAGTCTACAAAAGTTTACAAAAAAAAAAAAAAAAAATAGAAATATCAGCAGAGAAGGCATGGAATAAGAAATCGCTTGATTAGGAAATGGAAGGAATCAATAATAAGGCAAAGACTTACAAAGCCCATATTCAGGATCCATGTATGCAAGCTTGGCGTAACCAATATCCTGTTTTTAGCAGTTTATTGAACTTTAGAATCGGTTGGATATGAAACTAATATAATAACCTGCAAAGCCACGATATAATTCTCTAACCATATCTGTTAACTACTATCTCTACCTGAGGAATGCAGAGACTTGCAATAGTCAACCCAGCAATGAGATCACCTCTAAACTTAGTTAGATTATAGTGTCTACCCCATTCAAGAATAGGGAATATGGCCTGGATTCCCAGGATGAACTTGCGGGACTTTGGTTGATCCTTGAATGACCGGAGAGGATCATCTGCAAAGAATGTTTCTTTTACAGTCGCTTTGAACTCCTTGAAGAGGTCTTGCTTAGGGGGCAACCCAACCTTGTGAACATATGCCATGGCGTGTGTCTGATGGTGAGATGATGACGGACTTATAGAATCTGCTCCTGTTGTTTCTGCCTGCTCGTCAGTTGAATAAGCCATCACAGACATGGGGTATCAAATTTACTGCAATGCATGACATGTTAAAAGACAAATTAGAAGGCAGGGAAAGTTGGTTTTAAATGTGCACCTAGGCACTAAGCAGTCGGGCAAAAGCTTAAAATGACATGAGGAACATGGAAACCATTTTGTTGTATTTTCACTTCTTTTAATTCCTTCCTGTTATTTCATGCAAATTCAGCCTAAAAACTACGAACTTTAAACAATAAAACATCCCAGTTCTGTTAAGAGTCTTATGGCTGTCACTAAGGATGTTAAACCAATAGAACTCAGCTTTATAAAGCTAATATTGACAATGAAGGAAATTGGAACTAACCTAAAACGAAGCTAATGAGGATAGCAGAAAGATAAGGGTGGTTTGAGCAGCTAGTGTTTAACAGATGCAAACCCTACTTTATGGAAGAAACTTTGCAAACTCTCGTTTATATAACTTCTGAAATTATTACAAGTCAAAGCTTCCGAGCTAAAAGAGAGAATTACTTGAGCAAACGGATATGAATCTGGATCCCTTTGGAGTCATATACATGATAGTTGACAAAGTCGAAGCAAATTTTTTAAGTTCCATAACCTTCACTTCTATTGTGAAGGACATATGGATTTTTCAACATCGTTAAATTAACATAAACAGTTGATTTTTTTCCCTTTTTTTTTTTTTCATTAATTATTGGGGAGCTTTAGTATATATGGTGCTTGAGAAGTGGTTGACTTGGGAACACAGATGGCAGCAGCTAGGAAAACTGGTTTAAACCATATTGGGCGCATGTCTTATCCCTCTTCCTTATTGTGTTTTTCTTATTAATTATCATGAGAAGTTGATGGAAAATATTAAATGGAAAGAACTCCCCACTAACGTTGGTGCTAAAAAATTTGAATGTAATTAGCTGTCCGCTGCGACTAGTCCCTTAGAAGAGCAGCATGTTTGGTTCTGCATCAGCTTATTAACTTTTACTATCCGACTAATTTGATTTTCACTTAATTGTTAAAATGTAAAAATATGAACAGAGAAGTGTGAAGATTTCAGAAAGGCATGACCTAAAATTATGATGAGGATTAAGTTGCTAATGTCAGAAAGGAATATTTCTTTTTTCACTGCAACAATTGGTAACCCATTTGGTGATTCAACCTATAAAAATATTGACAGGAAAAAAGGATTAAAAAGGCATGGCAATGGTAAACGGCTGTGAAGTTCGGGCTTACTTGACTAACTCAACAACAAGCGTCAGACTCATAATTGATTATCAATTAAATGTAGCTAATCAGCTGTCCACTATTATCATACTTAATTGTACCCACATTACTTAATATTTTAGAAAGATTACATATAAAAATTAAACTCCTCGCGGGTATATTCGAATCGACTTGCACGAATTCATGATCATCTGGCAATCAAAGTAAACCAAAGCCTTTTGATGTGTGTATAAAAAGCCTCTTGAGGTGTTTCCTCAAGTTGCACTTGCATTTTAAGAGAACAATAAAAGCTCAAAAAAAAAAAAAAAAAAAAAAAAAAAAAAAAAAAAGGACAAACAAAAGGCTTACCTAGCTTGCTTCATACGTATGCTTGTTACGAAAGCCATTGATAGTGGAATCAGAGACCATACACCTAGACAAGAAGAGACATCTTTCCTCCCAAAATTCTTCCACCTACCACCAAAATGAAGCCTGAACATATAAAAATATAACTAAAAGAAGATCCAATATAAAATAAGATGAAAAAGAAGTAATTCTTTATGCAGAAAAGGGTAATGTCGGAAACCCCAGTTATCACCTTCCCTTTTGGCTCGCCACAGTTGGTGGCCCCTCTTTCTCCAATACAATATTATATAGCCAAATGATCAATTAGTAAACAAGAAGAAGAAGAAGAAGAAGAAGAGGAGACTACTAAAAGCGGAAGAACACGGATTGAGTGATTTTCCAATGACAAAACCCGTCCAGGTTCAATGAACCCTCAATCCCGACACTGTCTTAATTCCATCGGTCAGCGTTTCACAAAAAAAGTAAGCCAATTATAGCCAATGAAAAAAATAGAAGCAGATGCCTAATCGCTTAGGTAGTATGCTCTTTTTGGTTGGCAGGCAAAATAAAATGTATGGGTCTTCCGGGAAAACCAAATTAACCGACCCGATCGATCCGATGGAGACAAACAGCGACCATTAAAAAAATTGGTAGTCTTGACTTCTCCGGAAAAACGTAAAACAGAGGGGCAAAAAAAGGGAGGAAGCCAACAGGCGATATTTACGGAATTGCCACGGGTATACACGTGTGAGTAAAAAGTCAAAAGGGCGTGACCGCATTTTATTTTTTATTTTCTCCATAAAGCCGGTCCCACCGGCATGACGTGAATGCCCACGTCGGGGCCAATTTACGAATATGGGCTAGATCGCGGCCAGGTTCGTTTTAGAGTCCTCCTTTAAGGGCATTTGACCTCAATTTTGTTTTATTACCACTATTTATTAACCAACATATACTTAAAAATGGATTTGAAGCCGTTTGTGAGTAGGAGTTAGACAAGATTTCTATTGGTAATAGCTCCTAGGAAATTATATCATCATAAATATAGCATGTAGTAATGATTTATTATTATTATTATTATTATTATGGGTAAGTGATTGTACATTTATAGAAATTAATATTTTATTATTTATTTATTAACTAACATATACTTAAAGAAATACTTATAAAGCAAAAATCTTAAATAAATTTATAAATATAATTTTTTTTTTTATATTAATAAAATATGAGTAATAATTGTGTGGTAGAGAACAAATTATTAAGTTTTGACTTAATTATTCGAGAGAAAGAACTAAATGCATTATTGATAAGGGGAGACATTCTGAATTATCCTAAAAAATAATAATAATAATAATACAAAGGAAGAGGTCGAAAGCTAGTGTACAAATAAAAAAGAATGTGGTGTGAGGTTTTTGAGATGTTGACTTTTAATAAGTAATGGGATGTGTCAGCTTCATACTTTCTCTTAACCATCACGGGCACATGTTTAATGAAATGATTGCATTCTGAGGTCTATGTATGGACCCAAAATATGTGTTTTAATTAAGAACCCGTATGTTACTGTTTAAAAAATAATCAAAATTTTTGAACCCATATGTTATTTTATATGGAATTAAAATTAATAAATACAAGTATTTTAAATTAATGTTTATCTTCACTCATCCCTTTTTCTACTACGTATGGCCACTGGTCGGCTGGAAATAATAGACATTTAATTTTTAACGGAGAGGACGTCAGGTATTTTAGAATATACACACAAGTGTTTATCCATTAAAATATTACTGTGTGAATGATTTAAAAAAAAAAGAGAAGAAAATTGATGTAAGCGATTGGCACCTCATCATGCCTGGTTGATGATGGATAGAAGCATATATAATATTATGACATATGAAATAAATACCCTTATCATAATTAAATCTGTTAATTAAACAATAAAGTATGCAATTATGAACCCATCACAATCAATTAGAAAAGCTCACAGAGATTTCTGCTTCTGTATTCTGGTGTTTACCCTCAATTCTATCTCTATTGACCGACTCTCACAAACAAAAGTAAATAAAATATTAACTTTTGATATTTAAAGAGTCTTTATATTTTCATTATATATAAAATTCTTTTAAAATTTATGTTAGACTGCCCAACTCAAGATCGTGGGGATCTGCATATTGTTGTTTTTAACCATTGGTTGGTGGTAGGAAGGGATGTCTAATATGCCAAGAAAAATAAATAAATAAATAAATAAATTATATAAAGACATTCAACAGAAAACATTAAAAGCTACAGTAGTTTCCCAATTTATGTCTGGAATTTAAAGCAGTAGGCGGCTAGTTTGGTGCAGATCAAATGTGATTTAGACTCAATCTACTCACTCTATAGTAAAAGGCACAAGTCAAGACTCTGTTGGTCTTTTAATTTTGTTTAATTTTTCTATTTCTTTATTAAAATTTGAAATAACATTAATGCGAATTTAAGGCAGGCATGTAAATAAAGGACAAAGAAGATTACCATAGCTAAGTTTATGATCAAGGTTGGATGTAATCAAATTAGAAGGAATTCCGTGTTTAATCTGTATTTACGACCATCTCGAGGTTCGCGAGAACCCAAAAATAAAAAATAAATAAATAAAGGAGAGGACCAAGTGGGGTTGAAAAGAATATAGAGAGAAATGATTAATCGGGACGGGATGGGATGGCTTTCAAAAGAAATTCTGCCATCTTTGGTGGTGGACGGTTGAATTTACCTCTTACTATGCTAAAAGTTCTGGTATATGAAAACGACTGGACGAAGGTCTGATGGAGTAGGGAATAACTTAAAATAGCGACAGACACACACGTGTGTACTTACGATGATGGCAGTCAGCAGCAGAAGAAGCAAAAGAATTTAAAGTTGGAATAAGAAATAGTGGAAGGTCGGCTTTGAAAAGCAAATGGCGAAAGAGAAAGATATTGCATGACGACGACGACGACAAGTGCAGAAATTTACAGCCCCATTAAAAATGGATGACAAATTGATTTTGGCAGAGGGGGGAACCGACAATCCTCCTCCATGGACCATACACGTATATATATATTCTCTCCTATTTCTTTTCCATTCATACATATTTTTTAGTTTTTTTTTTTTTTTTTCATAAAAATGTAAATTCAAGATGGATGGATTATGATGTTTATTGTTTACTGTTTAAGTAGTCATATAATTATTAAAATACATAATTTTAGATTTTAAAGAAAGAATTCATATATAAGAAATTAATACCCTTTGTTCATTTTTCATTCAGTTTATATTATTTTTCTCAATTAATATTATTCCTCTAACGTTTGTCATTCTACTTGCCATAATGTAATTAATTTGACATCTATGGAATCTTCCACGTGAAGCCCCCCCCCCAAAAAAAAAAGATCTTAAAAGCTTCACTAATCTTCAAACATCAAATAAGTGAAATTTCATCTAGCATTAATTTCTAAGGACAATAAATTTTTATCTTGAATATTTTCCATCAAAATATAAGTTGTATTGGTGTGATTATAAAATATGTTGTAAAAATTTCGTTAAGTTTAAAACAATACGTTCAAGATTAAAAACTTTATCATTTCAAGTTCCAATATCATCTTCCTTCGAAAAAGTTTCAATACATACACACACATATGTGATTTAATGTGTATTACTATCGTGAATTTAACATGTAGAGAGCAAATTGTTATTTCTAATTTGATGAAAGATCAAATTAGAAATAATGAAAGCATGTGTTTTTGCATGTATTTTTTTAAATGGTTATGGTTCTCAATTTAAACTGTCAAGATGTTTTTTTTTTTTCTTTAACAAAAGAACTTATAGACTCTGAGATTTTTTTTAAATTGAAAGAATCAAATTCTAACCATTAAGAACGATCAATTTCGTTATAGATCAATAAATGTTTTCACTAATTTTCTTTTTTCTTTTGTTTCATTGAATTGACATGACGGGTAATTATATATTTTAAATATTTATTTAAATACAACAAGTGATATCAGAATATCTTCGTATTAATTCTTTGAAAAATAATAAAATAAATATTAGAATTAAATTTAAAATTAGGATTCATGTTTTATATGCATGGGATATAACGTATATTCTCGTATGTACCAAATTGAGAAATTTCGATGCTAGTGTTGCATCACGATTTTTGTTCTTTTGTTTTTGCGATGTTTTAAGGGACTTCTAGATTTATATTATGATTGATTAAATAAAATAAAATAAAAAGGAGGCATCAGAATATTGCAGTACACTATGCATGGGAGCACGAATGGGCATGGAGCACACTATCACCATCATGTGATTGATATTTTAATTGTTCATGGCCTAATGATTTATATATATATATATATATTGTTGTAGATGTATATATGATATATATATTGGGTAATAATAATATACCATGTATTATATATTATGGTAATATATAATAATATATTATATATATATTTTTTAATTTAAAGTATAATAGCATGCCTATGATGCTTTTAGTATTGCTACACATTTAAGAATAATTCAGATATTATATGTTGTATGTGAAATGTCATGTATATACCCATTTAAAAATTTAAATATTGCAGTAGCATCTTTGGTACAACAATATTGTAAGCAGGTTGAATAAATAATTTTTGATACATCTTTAGGTTTTTCAATCAACGAAATCTGAGTTGAATCCTCGAGGAGACAGACATTTTCAAGTCTTGGAGCATGTCAATGAATTAGCCTACAAAATTGATCTCCCAGGTGAGTATGGAGTGTCTGCTACATTTAATATTTCTGATTTTTTTCTTTTTTTATGTAGGTAACAATTCGAGGAAGAATCCTCTTAAAGAATAGAGGGGATGATGTAAACCTAAACATAAGAGACATAATGAAGGACACTTACCTGAAGGACCAAGAAGACAGTTGGGGAGAAGTGATAAGAAAGATTCAAGTCCTAGAGGGACCTATCACTTGAGCCTGCACTAAAAGCTTCCCAAAAGCTTTCAATCTTTTTGTCTAAGGTTGGGTCACCCAAGAAATCAAATTTGAAGGCTAATAACCTGCAAGAACAAGTACAAAAAAACAAGAAAACCACCGGCCATATCTGGTTCTACTTTGGGAAGAACATGACTAAGAGCATGGAGGTGCAGACCCGCTCATCCTCGCGAGAACTACACTAAATGAAGAAGCCAGAGCTGTGTTTCTCTTTCGGGAGGCTTGATTCCTCTTAATCAGATTCCAAAACTTGCAAAAACAAAAGCAAGTCAGATGAAGAATTGGTCATAATAACCAAAAGAGAAAGTCAAGATGAAAAATTCAAAGAGAAAAAAAAATGCTACAGCAGATACACACCAAACTAGAGAAGGAGCTTCTAATTTTTCTGCAGTTGTTTGCTTGATCTACAACAAAGAAGAAAAATCTTGCATGGTTATACCCTAAAAAAAGGAAAAAACAATATTGAAGACGAGTAGAGGAAATAGGACCGAAGACGAGTAGAGGAAAGATTAGAAGAAGGAGAT